TGTCAGGCTGATGGCTCTGTATGCATGTTGTTTGTTATTATGATTATATGGTGGTACTTTTGGGGAAACTCACTAAGCGTTAGCTTACAGTTTTGGGTTATGTTTCAGGTACTTCGGATGACCACGGGAAGACGAAGGCATGATCGTACACATCCTCTTGTTTATGACTTATGATTTTGGGAGACTCTGATGTTTTTGGAAAAAGCTTGAAAACTATGATTTGTAAACAATTTTAGAAATTAGGTTGTTTTTAAAAGTTCAAATTTTTCATGATTTTTATGATGTTACACTACCTAATGCGCATTACTCACTCATGTCAAATTATATTTGTTTAACATGTGTGTAGATATAGCACCCACTTGTACCATCTGATTTGGATTCTAAAAACACAAAAATCATTTGGTGATTATATATTGACATTTTAAGGTTACTACAAAATATTCATATAAGTTTTTTCTAATACAGAAGTTATAGAAGCTTTTTAAAAGTAGACACAACGACATACCTGCAAAAGTAAAAATAATTTCTCCACAATCCAATCCAAATAAGGTTATAGAAGTTGTAACGTATAATTCTGACTGAAGTTTATCACTTCAAAAACAACACTAAAATAAAATTGATAAGATAGAGAAATTTGAAAAATATCTTAGGCATGTAACACTATAGAGAACAAATAAGCTAGGTGTAATAAGATTGACCTTGAACAATTTTTGTGTACCCAAAATAGAAATCAAGATTGTAGGAATCATCATCATCAATGTAGAACACAGCCGATGAACCTTAAATAGTTGTAAAAAGAAAATATTTTATAATTTGGTTTGTTCTTATACTAATAATCAAATCCCAGGTACAATTACAACAAAAACTAACAATTTGGAGGACTAAGTTTTATAAAGAAGAAAAGATTTTAAAAATTTTGCTAATTCTTTTATGGTATTATGTATAAGCACTAATAACTAATGGCTTTGACATATATATATATATATATATATATATATATATATATATATATATATATATTAATTGCATGTCACTTGTAGATATATAAATGGCGAGTTTTGAAATCACAACAGATTGTGTATCTCTATCTACCTCATTAGACACAAATGACTTCAATTAGTTGATTGACTCAAAATAATTAGGTAGCTACTATTTCTTATTTTTCATTATAGTAGTTGTTACTTGTTTGTGAACTTTATGAGGTTTTAGTTATTGGTCCGTACGGCATGGTACTAATTTTGATGCATCAGTGTACAACACAAATCATATGAGCCCACAGGAAGACCTAAATGTCATATTTTCTACATTTGTATCTGTCGCCTTTACATGGTACTCTTATGGTTAGTTGTTCACATTGTATTTGATAGCAAATGTTATAAATCACCATCAATATAAAGAATGGAAGTTAATCCGGTAGTAGAGTCGGCAACTTAAACTAAAAGTATAATCATATAACATAACCTTTAAATTAAAAGTATAATAACATCGTCCCATGTTTTCTCCATAAGTTTCCTAATTTTAAGATTTGTTTTACCATCCAGGTTTGCAGTAGCTCGATATATAAAATGTCATCAGGATTTGTAGATGCAAAGAGTAATAGATCGACTAGAAAGAGCCCATCTTGTTTGACCTACAACCATAATTGGCCTCAAATCGAAAGTAACCACTCCAACCTGATGAAATGCAACTATGAGCACAAGCATAGACAGTTGAAGAATCAATTTATATTGTAACATCGCGACTCCTAGGTATAAATTTAAAGTTTTTATATTCATATTTTAAGACCTACTCGATGGGTTGGTTGCTCCAACTCATCATGTAGAAACTGATTAGGCCGCGTGGTTTATGGAACCAACTCGACGAGTTAAAGGACCCAACTCGACGAGTTGAGGTTGTGCATGAAAACCCTAATTTTTAAGGTTTGTACCCTATTTAAAGGACCTTAAGTCCTCTTTCCATCCTCCTTACAACCCTTCACGTCCAAAGACAAACCCTAATCGAGTTATCCTCCCTTTGAGTGTGTGTGTGTGTGTGAGAGAGGCTAATAGAGTGTGTTTGTTGCATTTCTTGAAGAGGCTTGAGGATTGAGAAGCTTGGAATGAAAAGGGGCTTGTAGATGCTGCATCTACTTTGTTTTGGAATTCATTTGAAGGTAAAAGTCTTTACCTTGGCTTTCCATTTCTTGGATCTCCTCTTATGGAAGTATATGGTCATTCTTGGTGCAAACTAGAGTCATTATCGGATTTAAACTTGTCTAGAGGATGTGGTTTCAGATCTAGACACCTTTAGGCGTCCATGAACATAAAGTTGCCCATTTTATCTAGTCTTGGCCCTTCTCCATGACTTAAAACCTCTTGTTAAGCTTAGTTCTAGTGTTTTAATCCCTTTGAGGCCTTGCATGCATGTAAAGTTGGCAACTTTACGTGATAACTACACCCTATGATGATAGATCTACGGTTTGGAACCTTGGTTTCGCTTAAAAGCGTCTGAATGAGAAATTGGTTGAAGGAACTTGATGAGTTACATAAGCTAACTCGACGAGTTGGTTAGGTGAGTTTGACATTACCATCCAGTGCTAATTGTGAGGTGAGTTTTCCTCACTATACTCAAGGGTCGAAGGTACCAAGGTCGGCCCTTTGGATTGTTATCCTATTTTATTATCAATGTAATCTGTTGGATCGGTATCCTAGTAGATAGGATGTTTCTATGTGGTTATGATTGGTTAGATCGGTATCTTGGTAGATAGGATGTTGGTATGCTTAGTGATCTGTAGATCAGTTTGTTTGTATGTAGACGGTTATGTGATTATCTGATATATGTGCACATGATTGATTGGTGATTGAGGCTTATTTTCTTTGTGCGAGAGCCAACAGACTGGGGAATTCCAACTCGATGGTTGCAGGCTGAGAGTATTCCATCCCAATGATGATTGAACTCCTAGTATGTGAGCAATCCAACCCGATGGTTTTGGGCCGAGGGTATTCCATCCCAAGGATGATTGGACCTATAGTATGTTAGCATTCCAACCCGATGGTTGAGGTCCTAGGGCATTCCAAACCGATGGTTGATTGGTCCCATAGTATGTTGTCCTTATATGTGTGTTATTTGTCATGAGGATATTTTGGGGGAACACACTAAGCTTTGGGCTTACAGTTTTGGATTTTGTTTCAGGTACTTTGGATGATCACGGGAAGGCGAAGGCTTGATCATGCACCTCCTTGCATTTTATGATTTTGATTTTTGGGATACTCTTATATGAAACTATTTTGAAAACATTTTGTAATTAAATGATGTTTTTGAATGATTGAAAAAGTTTTAAATTTTCATGAATTTTATGGATGTTACACATATATTTTAGTCTATAATAGGTCAAAGTCCAAAAGTAAAAGCATACCAACTTCACCTCTAAATAAATAGTTCCTTCCTTTTTTGGATATGCACTGTAATTTTTGTGAACTTTGTCAAAGAAAGTCCAATTAAAGGCAAATATGCATGGTTCTATCTTCAAGTCACTGCTTCCACCATTATATTGGTGCTCAGTGCAATTACTTTGCTAGTTATAGGTAAAAGAATCAAGTATGTTGCTATTTATTATCGTATTATGAATAAGAAGTCAAACTGCATTACTTTTCTCTGCAATTTTCTTGATAAGGAATGATAATGACAACATATTTCAATAAAGTATAAAAATGGACTCTTATAGCAACGTACTAACGCTTAACCACTTTTAAGGACACTATACTTTATTATCCAAAAAGAAGTGTAAGTACATTTTATAGCATCCTTATGGTCATTCAATGCATAATGAGCCGAGATGGTGGTTGAATATTGGTCCTCCTGAACAAAAGAACCTCAAAACCCACAAAAAATAAAAAATACAAAATACAAAATACAAAATACAAAATAAAAAATAAACTGAGAAATAGAACCAACTACAGTAACAGCATCCAAATACAATGCGATGTACAATACTTTCAAAAATAAAACCAATAACAACCCACTTTCATTTTTTTCTATTATAGCATAATAGCAGCCTACTTTCATTTTTTTCTATTATATACTATAGTATAATACTTTCAAAAATGTAACCAACTACAGTAACAACATCCAAATACTAAAAATAAATAAATAAATAATTTCAGTGTTATAGTTGAGTTGATTTTGTAAATGCTATATTGAAATAAGAAAAAACAAAAATATAATAATACAATTAGATTGATTTGTCAAAGTAAGGAGTACTAATAGGAAACAAAAATAAAACAATTATAAAAGAGAAAGAAATATATACCATAAGGGGTGTTATGAAAAATTTATATAATCTAACATACGAACCTCTCTTTTCAGTAAGTGAGAAACTGTTATGAACTCATTACTACTAAACTCCACTAACCATTACGAAATTTGCATCATAAGGGACAAATTTTAATAAACTATCCAATAGTCTATTTTAGTAAAAGTTATATTATTTGAACAACACTAAACGAACTGATAAAGGTTCCTAATGGAAGCAAATTTTTCATTACTTCTTGATGAAATTTAATGTACAGTTGCTTCATCAGGTAACCAACTAATCCTCTAAATATTACAATTTCTAAAAATGGAATTAAAAATATTGCAAAAACAAATGATATATCACTTATATTAAAATTAAATTTTACATATGTAAGATAATAAATCATTGATGGTGTAGGTTTTATTTCACAGCCATCAGACCCATTGCTTACAAATCTATTAAGGAAGACCATAATCAAAGTTCAAAAACATAAGCAGACAACGTAAAAACTAAAACTTGAAGATTAGGTCATACCAATTACTAGGGGATAACCATCACATGGATTGGATCTTTTTATTATTCTTATTTCAAGCAAAAGCACTTGCTCCAATTTCAATAGACATTCTCTTTTTCCTAAAGATAATGAAATCACACTTCATATCAGTAAGGAAGAAAGGATGTGAAACTTTAAAGGATACCAAAACAGTCAAAATGAAGCAAACAAAATACCTATTAGAAAGCTCACGTGTATCCTTACTTTCTTTAGCATTTAAAATATGGTCAACTATCCAAACATAATTTTAGGCAAAGTTACATTTGGTTATACTAATACAGCATCTTAATCCAAAACTTGAAAATTAAATAATCATATATATTACACACATGTTTCATTCCAAGTAGTAGGATTCTTTAAGTGACGCAAAATCGCAGAGCAGATACTCATCCGTTGAAAGAAGGCGGTTGAGGAAACGTAATTGGAAGTCGGTGACACCCTAGAAAAAAGTCTGTAGAGAAAACAGTAGATGCTTACACATGGTTTCAAAGTACTAAAAGGTGAAGCACATAAACCGTTTGTAAAGCAGTTGAAAACCTAGAAATTGAAAGGACATGGTTAAGGTCCTTACTTCTTGTAGTCGTCACCACCAGTGACATGGTAATGATGCATGACATGAGCATCTTTGTGGCCGCCTTCTCTCTTCTATTCCAAGAAATTAACCTTTCAGTAGCTTCTTCTCTCGACTTACACTAAACAATCAACAATTAAATTAAGAAGAGTAAATTACACGAATGGTCCCTATAGCTTAGGGTAATTTGCACACTTGATCCCTAACTTATTTGTTTAACTCGGAAGGTCCCTACTATTTGTTTTTGTTACGTGTTTGGTCCTTACTGTTTGTCTTTGTTAAGCGTTTGGTCTCTGTTTTACCTAAAAATACTATTATTTAAATAGGGAAAATAGCGAGCGGGTAAGTTAAGTTGAGGGGGTGGGGTTGGGGGTGCGTTTAATTAAATAAATTAAAAAATCAAGGGAAAAATAGTTTCTTTAGGTAAGACATGGACCAATCGCGTAACAAAAACAAATATTAGGAACCTTCCGAATTAAAAAATAAATTAGGGATCAAACATGTAAAATACTCAAAATCATAGGGATCATTTGTGTAATTTACTCAAATAAGAAAGAAACAAAACCACGAATCAAAGCAAAGAAACTGTGGGTTGAAAGTTGAATAAGAACACTATTAAATTTAAACCCTAGACCAAATTTGTAAATATGCACATAGGCTCCAAATTGGTCCCAAATCTATGAATGTGTTGAAAATCATATTCAAAATCACATTTCATGTTTATTTATTGTCGTAGGTGGTTCGGATAAAGAAATCAATTTTATAGATGGAGAACAAAACTTACAGTCGGCGTTGCTCACGGAGGAAGGTGATAGAGTGAGGAGGGTGAAGCAAGTGTGGAGGTGGTCGCGTGGTGGTAGTCGAGACGGCGATGACGATCGATGATTTTGTATGATACTACTTATCTTTCTAGTTGCATATGTCATGGTGGAGAAGGTGGAGAGCAGACGACATAATTTCAGGTCAAAATCCCTAATCCAATGACGGAAGATATTAAAGCAGTGGCGACGTGGTGGAGCAGTTCCAGACGTAAATCATCAGTTGTGAGAGAAAAAGATTGAATATGTGAAGTAAAAAGGTGGTGGATTCGGTAGATGGATTAACTCTAGTGGAATGTAGAAGCTGGACCAATTGAGTTTCGAATAGTACCCAAGTCGGGTACTGTTCATAAGCATATTGTGCTTTATATATATATATATATATATATATATATATATATATATATATATATATATATATATATATATATATATATATATATATATATATATATATATATATATAGGAGTAGGATCAAATGAGAACGCCTAAAAGGTTAAGAACGCGAGAACACTTATCAGCCAATCATTTTATTAGGGTATTTAAGTAAATTTGTATTTAATCTAATTTTTAATTAATATAATATAATTAATAATCAATATATTATCCATTAATATTTACCTATAATTAAGGGATATTCCATAGTTATCGTTTGATCCTACTCCTATATAAAAAATGTATTACTTAAATACACTTTAATGAATTTGCACACATTAGTCTACCAATATTGAATGACAGCTGAATTTAAAACAAATCTTACCAGGAGTAATATAATTGGCCCAACATATAATCATTTTTTGCTGTTTGGATTCCATGCACTTTTTGTCTCCTTAAGGCAATCAAAAACATATCCACACCAATCAATATCACTTAGATCCAGGTCTTCCGTGACTTTTGATAACATGGACAGGTCACATGTTCCCATGCTCATCGACTGACCTAGTGTATTACACAACAGGACAAAGATGTTTACTTTAAAGATTAAATTTGCACGTGTTGATTGCATAATAACTTGTTGAACTACCCTTGGTCTAATATTATCTTCATCTTCGAATTGTTTTGTCCAAACAGTTATCGTGCCGTCTATGACTTCTCTATAAGGCATGGACTTTATTGTAACATGTCCCAGAGGCAGACCCAACATTTCGTGAATAACTTGCCGATTGATTGGTATCTCTCCATGATGAAGTTTGAGTATCATCCTATCTGCATCAAAATTCCTTACAATATAATGCCCCATAATTGATGCACACCCATCCACTTTCATATTCAACAAATGCCCCAGACCAATAGAATAAATATAAGCTTCCTGTTCCTTGCTAAGGTTATGCATACAACTGTACAAAACATTTGGAGATGTCCGTACTTGTATTCGCCTTGCTTCTTCTGCATCACTTGCTACAATTTTAGGCAGTTTTCTTGCTTCACTACATTTCCTTCTTTATTCTTTTGTCTTTTCAATTTCTTCACATTTTCTTTGTCATCATTTTTTAATGAAGTATAATGCCTTCTCTTTTTCCTTGTTACCACAGGTTTGTCATCTTCAAAATCAGAGTCTTCATCTTCATCAAGCTTCTTGACAGTAACATTATCTTTTCCTGTTAAGACATATTTAACACAATAAATGATTATAAATAAATTACCAAAATAATACTATACTAAATTTATTAAGAAAAAAAAACACTACTTGAACATGAGTTTATAACAACAACTTCATCACCTTTTATTTTACATCTATCAAACCGTATTTTTGTTCTCAATTCATTTTCCCTATTTATTCCACTATCTTGTGTCATGTCATAACTTTCAATCAAACCTGCCAATAAGTAGACAACATAATCATAACTGAAGATACTTTAATATACAACTTACATTACATGAAATCATCATTGATACCTTTTTGTTTCTGTATATTTTCTTTAGATTTTGAAAACCTTGAATTTCCTCCGTCAAACTTCTTCACATTGACTTTGGGTTTCATGTTCTTTTCTATTAATAAATACAAAACAACACAAGTTATTAAAACTAACTACAACATCAAACTCTAAATAAATTTATTTTTAAACAAGTACATTACTTGAATCTGAGCTCAAAACTACAACTTTAAGATCCCTTCACATTGAATGAGCTGGTGTGCGATTAACACGTTCCCCCACACCTGTCCAAAAAATAAGACATATAATCACTATAGATTCCAATTGATATTTAACATTTTAAATTTCATATAATCATCATCACCACCAGTTTGTTTTTTAGTTTTCTTCTTAGGTGTTGAACACTTCTTTTGTCCTTCTCTTCTAATCTGAGGTTGTACTATTTCATTTCTTTCATTGTCTTCATCTTCAATATCAATAAGCAATGGATTGGATTCTTCATTAGTGAACTTGCTGAATGTCGTCTTTAGTAATATCCTCTCGCTTTTCTTTCTACCTAATAGTAGAATTAAAATACCTTAATCATTTATAACTCAGAATTGAATCATTAACAACTCAAATAATCATAAATTATACCTACTAAACACAAACACAATTATACACATACCCAAAAACAGAGGAATGTTTACAATAATCATCAATAAACAAACAGTGTAATTAACTTACTCACAAAAAACAGTAGGGACTCCTACACCATTATTCTTTACTTAGTACATCATGTACAGGATCAAAACCACATACATACTCAATAAAGTACCCATTCACAACTGAATATGACTTTAACAATATACATAATATACAACCAACAACAAGGATTAATACTAGAAAAGTACTTCTGTCGCACAAACAATCGGATTTTACAAGTAATCAATAGTAATGAATGACATTTATACCCTTCGTTATTATTTTTCTACTGAACACCATTCACAATCGAATACTAACATCAATTACTCCTCTTGTCCTACTTATAATGTATTTATTTTGCCATTGATCAACAATACGATTCTTAAAAAAAAAAAAAAAAAAAACCTAATTTTTGGGTTTTCGTAACCTTACTTCAGTTCAAAGTAGTCGACTACGATTACACATGTATATGCATCTTAGAACTTTCAAACACAATCATAAACGATTAATTTTTAAACACATTCAATATCAAAATACTGTAACTTCGAAACTCATCTACAATTACCATTTTCATTTAAACATTCACATACACCAACGTGTTATTTGTAAAATACAACCTTTAAATCAACAATCGTCAACGATGAAGAATCACTACAGTTCATAATCGATGATATAAAGAAAAAACGAAAAACCCAACTTCTAGGGTTTTAAGAATCGTTAAAATGTACACATTAACAAAAAATAAACACACTACTACACCCGTTTTCCAGTCAATCGACATTCAAAAAAGATTAGAAAGTTTACTTCTTCCACTTCGGTTGATCATCGACGACATTCCTCCACCTTCAACCCTTCACGGAGTTCTGAATGCAAAATACCTCTTTACGGATGAACAGTATTAATCGAGTCTCGTATAAACGTTTAGCTGTGACGATATTTTCGAATCATCCAAAAGATTAGAAGTTAGCTGTGATTACTAAAACATAGGAACGGTTTCTTTTAATTTTCATACTTACCTGATATATTCAAAATGGATGACATCATAAAATTACTTGAATACCCTTTGATATTTTTTTTTAATTAAAAAAAATAAATTCATTTAATATTTTGTTTAAATTAATGATTAATGACATCCTTAGATTATAAATATTTAATGTACCAGATTTGTTCTCGCGTTCTCAACCTTTTAGGCGTTCTTATTTGATCATTTCCCTATATACAGTAATTAAACTAATTGCCTAATACTCATTGAATCTCTCAGCAAAATGTATCTTTAATATTGTTATCTGTAATACAATAAGTGAGTCGGATTGTAAAATCTGGTGAGTTATAACGTTTTCAACCCATAATATTACAATCAATATGTTTAATCGTCAAACAATTATCTCAATTTTCCATCTCTATATGTTTAATCGTCAAACAATTATCTCAATTTTCCATCTCTATTATCTTATTTATTCTTAAGGATCTTCCTTAAGGATAAATCTATGCGCCAGTACTAGTTCAGGAATTCCTCCATGATACTTGTTAGTCAATAAGATATAGATTAACAACTCTAATATTTACATAAAGGTTTTTGTTAAATAGCTAAATGTCATGGTAGTTATGCAACCACGGTATTCTACAGTATTTTGAAAAGATATTGATTAAGAACTCTAATATTTACATGAGAAAATAATAAAAATAGTCATTTACACTAATGGCATTACAAAAATAACCAAAAAAAATCGAAATTACAAAATTAGCCAACGATTTCGCAGATGGAGATGCCCCATCTGCGAAATGAGCATCTCATCTGCGAATGTACAAGCACCTAAAGCACAGTTGTGCTTTAGGTGCTTTTACATTCGCAGGTGCATTTAATTTTTTTTTTCTGTATATATAGGGGTAAAATCGCAGATGGAATAGGTCCATCTGCGATTTACTCTCACTCTATCTGCGAAATTGTGGTTTTTTTTGTATTTTTTTTTTTAGTTTGACTACGAAATGAATTGGTTTGACTAAGAAAGTAAAACAATCTACAAAACTTTTTATATAGCAGCATGATTTCGTAGTCAAACCAATTCATTTCATAGTCAAACTAAAAAAAACCACAATTTCGCAGATAGAGTGAGAGTAAATCGCAGATGGACCTATTCCATCTGTGATTTTACCCCTATATATACAGAAAAAAATTAAAAAAAAAAAAATTAAAAGCATCTGCGAATGTACAAGCACGTAAAGCACAGTTGTGCTTTAGGTGCTTGTACATTCGCAGATGAGATGCTCATTTCGCAGATGGGGCATCTCCATCATTTTTGTCATTTTTTCTATTTACATAAAGGTTTTTGTTAAATAGCTAAATGTCATGATAATTATGCAACCACGGTATTCTATAGTATTTTGAAAATCTGGGTGTTCCATCAACATCCATGATTTTGCATACCATGTAATTTTGTATACCATGTAATTCCAATCTTCTATGATGTTATTAAACACTTTGATTATCTAAGAAATCTTTTTGAGATACGCTTTTTCACACTACCAATACCAAAAGTTATTTTTTGGTGAGTTGGAGACTTGGAGTTGGGCGTTTTCATCCCACAAACAGTGTGAAGTGACTCGCATACTCTTCTACACGCCACGTTTGTTGTTTTCGTTCGTTCAACACTTTTTCAGGAAGCATGATACATTGCACTCACTATATGTGTCACCATCAACCTTTCACACCATAACATTAGGCTTTTTCTTTTTTCTAAAATCTAATAAAAAACAACAAAAGGTTGACACTTGAAAAGGTTTATACATGAAAACAAACAAAAAGGCAGTACAAATATTTGATTCTAAATAAAACCCGAACCAAAATTACAAAAAGCAATCAATCTCTCTCCTTACCAACAGTTTGAAATCTATTCCCACAACTCTCTTTCATCACAAGCAGTGACATTCTGTATAAAATGCCATTTTTTCTCTCTCTACAAATCGGGAACCAAAATAGGATTTACACATGATTTTTTAAAAAGAAAACTATATGCTTCGAGTTTTTAGACCAGAAAAAAAAACAAACATGATTTCATGAATGCATTGTATTTTCAAATAAATTCAAAAACACCTACCGACGACTGACAAAAAAAAAAAACTAGTTTCCTAAATGTAATGTGGCCAACCCCCTACCTGGCTTTAAATAATGCACATGTGATGTGACCCAGACTCAAAATGAGAAGATAAAAAAAAATATAACAAAATAATAAAAGGAAAGAAAAAATGTATGATGTGATGCAAATGTAATGTGATATACCCAGACAGACAACCGAAACCACTGTGGACCCCACCAAGATGACACATGACACGGGCTAATTCATTCATGCACTCTCTGAGGATTGAATCAAGATACACGATTTGAATTTGAAAAAGAATCAGCCCATAGCTTGATATTACTATTTCGCCCCTGTCAGCTTGACACGAATGGTGTGTGTGTGTGATATGACCCGACCTGACCCAACCCGACCATATGCATGAAAAGCAAAAAATAATATATGTACTGCTGCCAGGCAGAGGGGCTTAAACGGAAATTGCACGAGAGATTGCGAGCTTGGCCCATTCAGCAGACTCCTTAATCATATGATCATCTGATGACAAACATTCATTCAGAAAATCTTTGCTTGAAAGAGATTGCTGAATCAATGACCCCGCGTTGCTTCCAAGAGTATCTGCTAAATCTCCAAGAACACCGATTGCTGTTTTCATCACTACTTCATCCCTGATCATCAGATTTAAACAATAAGTCACATGTCAAAAACAAACACTCAGATACAAATGAAACAAGAACTTACATGTCTTTCTCCATGTACATCAGATCAAGAAACTGGAGGATATGAGGAGCATAAGGAATCAGCAGCTGGGTTTTGGGAGAGTTTTTAAAACCCTGAAAAATCCCGGAATACGCCTCCAAAATCCCATTTCTCAAGAGATTTGTGTACTCAATCATCTCATCATCAGCACCTGAAGTGTGTGAAGACAACTCAGCTGCACTCTGAAGCATAGGCATGGCATACATCAAATACTTCTCAAAATTCTCTCCAATCGCAAGTGAAATATCACCAAAACAAGAAAAAATCGGAGGCTTCACGGATCGATGCAATTGATTGCTTGACAAATCTTTAAGAAGCTGAGTCATAATCCCATCACACCAAGGCAACACCTTTTCCTCCAAAGCCCTACAAATATCACCCACCACACCTACAGTCACAGCACACACCTGATACTCTTCAAAATTCTGAAGTCCCATTTCTAAATATTTATAAAAATCCGGCATGAACTTTGCAAAATCGGGACCCGTTGCGTAAGCTAAAGCCCCAATTGCAAGCATTGCTTCTTCATGAACAGTGGCACTTCGGGAGGCGAAAACCCTAAGAAAAAGATTCATGATTTGATCTGTGTATTG